AACACAGAGGTTCAAACTACACTGGACACAGCTACCAGGCACCAATGCGAGTCGCAGTGTGATAACAGTGACGTAACACAACTTTTAGTACAATGTTCACTACTCTGCCAACACGACAGCTCACACGGCTATATTTTGAGCATAACTATAACCGGGGGAAGGTTTAAACCTTCACATACGTACTTATAAGTGTCTCTGGTTTACACTCCTCTGTGTTGCGAGTAGCAAGACAGTTCCAGCGCTTGGGAATACCTCCAGCCTTGAGTATCGTTGTGGACACTCATAAAGCCACCGTCAAAATGATACACATGACAAAATTCCATCTACTGTACTGAAATTTCCTTGTCCTGTTACTCTTCCAGGTTAGGTTAGGTTGTTGTGAACTTTATTGTCTACTTTTTATATCTGGTCGTGGACACTGGATTACACCCTTCTCACGTATGTCCGGGCCAGGATAGACTCATACATAACCCAGGATATGCAGGATATTTATACACAAGTCAAAAACAAACCCTCTATCACGTGACGCACCATCATTAACAGATTCAGATTTGCCCCCGAGGGGGCTAGTTTATTGGGCACCCCCTTACATCCTGTGCAAGGTGAAGCGCAGAAGCGTTTACAGCGCCCAACAGGGAAGTATGAAAAGTTCATACTTGCCTTTACCATCATTAACCTTAATACTCATATTCTTGGTATCATTTTCCTCCTATAATTACTCAGGGATACATAGTCATTAACGCTGATCTATAACCTGTATCATTAAACATACTTGGACATTTATAAGTTGAACATTTTAGTCACGAGTCATAATATTCACCACAACCAAAAACTGCTGAGTCAGTGAGGTGATGTCTAGACCATACTGACTAACATGACTATAAGCTAAGGAGTATACACGTAATAATGGAGGCCGCTGTCATCTTTACCTCGCTACCATCTCCCGCCTTTACGTATGCGTCCCTGGAGAATGGTCGGTTGCACATCGTTAATGGCTGACCGATAATAGCCGCGTCTGTTTTACTCTCAATGTTATTAACAGTATGACAGTATTTTGAATCACCACAGTAATCTGACCTACTATACTGGTGGTGGTGATGACGGTCACTGACTACGACATAAATGGTAAGTTTAGACACACCCACTGACCATTGTTGCTTGCACCGTAGACCAATAAATGTAGACACACACACACACACACACACACACACACACACACAAGAGTTCACCATATATAATCATTCACCTAAAAACATAAACTGAAATTAACTGAGTAACAAAAAATATAAACTGAAATCGAAATTAATCCCATGGCAATGTGTATCCAACCAACCACAACTACGGACACTAACAATACGATATAAAAACACAAAACTCGAGACAAAAACTCATCTAACAAACACAGGATTAAAACAGTGACGTGGACGAGTGTTATAAAAACTGGGATAGAAAGTAGAATACCTCAATATACCTGGCGAACAATAGCACAGCCTTACCTCCTTATACACCAGAGTTAGACGATCCTGGTGCTGGGAGATTAATATTTTAACTCCTGTTGTATAGCTGTTGAAATGTGAGATCACCTGAAGCTTCCCCCTCTCTCTACAGCTTATTTCACCTGAAGAATCTCCCTCCTACAGCTTATTTCACCTGAAGATTCTCCTTCCTACAGCTTATTTCACCTGAAGATTCCCCCCCCCCTTATTTCATCTATAGATTAACCACCCTAACACTATTTGGGAGGGTTGGGATAGATTAGGTTAGGATAGGTTAAAATAAGCTATGTTAGCGTAAGGTTGTTTAATCTTCAGGTGAAATAAGCCCCGGGGGGGGGGGGTGATTCTTCAGGTGGTCCCCAATAAGTACCTGTCAACCTCATGTTTTAATTAATGAGTTATAACAAGAAACAACAATATGAAACGTATTATCAAACCATAACACATCTCTACTCATGCCCGACTGAAAATAAAATGAATCACGACAACCACGACGTCCACATTACAAGGCTGATTCAATGACCATTTACATTCCTAACACAGTTGACACAGCGCTGATGCCTCGTCCATTCACTCTCCCATTGTCGGGTACAGTCACTTGTCATCTTCACGCACATTTATGCCCAGGGAGCTGAAGGGGTCATATCAGGGGCAGAGGGGAGGGCGGCTGGCCAACCTCCCCCTGGCAGTAAGATAAAACTTCACTTTCATTATATTCCTACTTTATTCTACACTGGATTATTATCACACATAATCTCTTACGTCGTTATGGCCGGGATGGTTCATGGTATATGATATGAGGTAATGTTTACAATACTAAGAACAATTTCATCACAGTCATTTTAGACTTGATTATTCTTATTCGCAACCAAAGTGTTCATAAAGCAAGAACTTATTGCACGCTCAACAATATGGTAACTCCGGCGTGTCATCAGAAGAAAAAATAATAAACAAGGGAACATATGAAACCCTTACAACCTATCGTGACGTGATTACCTCAGCACTCGTAAACACATAGACCGCAGGCGGCTGTGTGGCGGCAGATGGTCTCCAGTGAGGCGGTGTGTGTTGGACTGCCTCTTTGCAAGCTTTCTCGCCTCCCTCTCCCGACATTTACTGTACACTGATAATATGCGTCCTATTATCGGCTGTATCCGGGATAACACATTTCTGTGACTGTTACTACGAGAATACTGACGCTATGTCCACCAAGAGCAGAGGACGCGGTAAATAATAAATAATGAGACACAGGCACGTTTATATGTAACACACGTAGTAGCTACAGTATGTGATAACTGTGCGACTAACCATTTTTAACTGGTTGTGAAAACATTTCTCACGTAACACAACACACAAATATCAGCAAAACAACTTGAGTCAGAAACTGTTTTACAAGTACTGGCGGACACAAGGGGAACGTTGAATATATAAAGGTTGGCGATAACGTTTTATATATATATATATATATATATATATATATATATATATATATATATATATATATACACCACGAGTAATACTAGAAAAGTTTTTGACAAATCCATCAACACTTGTTCATCACTGATAGCCCTCTACTGCCAGCTGGATCTGCTAGTGCTTCAACAACGTAAAATACTTCATCTGTCAGGTATTGCTATTATTGTAACCCTCAGTGCAGTTTTCAAACTCGTCAACGGAATAACTAAACTACCAAGGTAAAGAAACACGACTTATAAGTAAAACCTGGAACAAGTGATGGCCCTTTCGGCAAATATTGTGTGTAAACTGTATTGTTACACGTTGGTGACGAAATTTTAATGAGTTCCTTCCTAGTTAATTTCAAATTAGTTGAAGTTTCCTGTACCGATAACAAAATGATCTAAGCCCCGCTTAACGTTCAGGACACGAGATTGGAGAGACAAGTTTGAGCAGTGGTGTATGACGGACCTGACGCCATACGCAGAGCAGATTACAATATTGGTGTGGACTCAACACAAGCTATCACTCTCTCCTCGCCCCCCATACTTGTGGTCCAACTTACATTGTAATTATCTCTACACTCCTGACATATTAGTTCCTCTTTCTGCCTCTACACCCTCAGTCTTGATTCACGTCTTAGCAGCCACACGCTCAACGTATAGATAAGATTATTCTTTACTCTGCACAAAACGAATCCATTAGTACTCATTTTCACACGACAACCTTCACCTCCTACTTTTCGATAAAATTGTTTTATTCAAACTGACGAAACGCTTACATAATACAGTATTAGCTTCTGTATTTTGCTGTAAGTATAAAACAATATGTGGACATAATTACTGTTATCATATTTGTATCCCGGCAAGTAGAAACACTTCCGGTTATGATCCAGAACATAAAAACAAGAGATAATAAAGAGCCAGCCTTGCACGTGTGACGTTTGGTACACAGGGCGGGGCGGGGTTGACAGCTGTGGTGCTGGCGAGGCTCTCTTGTTTTGGTTGTGTGTGAACCTGTCCATAATTTGTAAGCAGTTAAAATAATATTTACTATAATTTTTGTCGCGTTTCAACTAGTTTGTTACAAGCTGTGCAAAGGTGGGAAGAAAGGTTATTGCGTTTAATTTTGAGATAGTTTGTGAGCGCTGGAGAGATTGACGATTACATAATTTCTCCAGTAATCATGGTATCTAAGTTTTACGTAACCATTATTATTTATTTCAATGTTGTTATTAAAAATACAGTCATATTCAGTACTACTTTAAACTTTCTTTAATTCTTATGTCATAAAGTGTAACTCAATTACCATCAAGGCTTGTTGAGGGAACATGGGGTAGCATTTATGTCAAACCTCAGACCACAGTCTCACCAGCAGACAGAAGCTACAAGAGGAAGGGAAGGCTGCCTACCTATAGTTTTGGGATAAATAATTTACTTCATATCTAGGCCTAACACCACCTTTATGTTCTTATATTCTTAAATAAAGGCATTTACAATGACCAATGCTAGTAACTTGTGGAGACAGTTGTACCTTTACAATTGTATCTTAACACGTTGGTATCGTGCGGTCAGCAATTTGCAGACAAAAGAAAATCAATAATACCGTATAGCCATATTTTGTGTGGTATGACTAAGCCTACACTAGATGGCGGGAGATAATGGATCTCAGAAAACAAAATTATTTTGATAAATGTTTCACGTAGCTCCCGGATGTTATTAGCCTGTCATGGTGACCAGTTTGCAATACGAGCGGCCGCTGTGCAGTATTGATCACCAGTAATATAACCTAACCGAGCACAACCAAACCTTACCAAACGTAGTGGCAAGTTTAGCGTGCCGTGAACATTGCCACAAGGTGACAAACATTAACACTGACACTCACCATAATCTGGAGGATCCTGGTCAGTCGGTCTCAATGTAGCGTCGGAAACACAGGTCATTTTCGACACTGGGCGGAATTGCCTTAGTGATCACCTGAGGATAATGGCGGTGGCTACGTCATCGGGAAGGGCCAGTCACGGAATGGGTGAGAGGAGGGATGCGCATTTGATGACGTCACTGTATGTCAGGCCTCCTACAGCAGGACAATAAAAGCTGCGAGACAACCAACCCGGACAGCAGTTTGCCTGGAGGTTGCAACTCGGTACCAGCACACGCGCCGCGCACCAAGCATCACACCAGCGGCCAGGTATCCCATCACGATCAGTATCAGAGCCTAACTGTGGAACATTGTTGTAAGTGTTCATATTCTCACCATAATGACAGTATGGTGAGTAGTTTAAGGATTATATCATTTTATGTATTATGGTAATTAGAGGTTAGGCCTAAACACGAAAAAGGTATGTTTTCGATAATGCCCCCCCCCCCCAAAAGTGTCGCTTGAAATTATATTTTTCTATTAATGTTGTAGCCTCTGTAGTTGTCCAAGAAGGTAATCACCATCTGACAATCATAAAACACAAATACTGTTCAGCTTCTCGGAGATCCAATTTACCTGAGTTACCACCCACAGGTAAGCCTTCACTTCACCTTTTCTGTAACCTTTGTTGACAGAAAACCTAAATTAAGGGTCAGACTTTTATTTTTTTGGGAGACCACCTGAAAATTATCTCTCCCTCCCCCAGTTTATTCCACCCCGAGAGTAACCACCCTAACCCTATCTGGGGGGATGGGGTTAGATTAGGTTAAGTTAGGTTAGCGTTAGGGTGGTTAATCTTTAGGTTAGGTTAACGTTAGGGTGGTTAATCTTTGGGTTAGGTTAACGTTAGAGTGGTTAATCTTTAGGTGAAATATGCTAGGGGAAGAATCTTTAGGTGATCTATTTTTAAGGTCACTCGGGTCACCACACATAGACGGCATTTATTTACACTATACCTTAGCTGCCTCTTAAACGTGGAAAGTAAATAAATTGTATACAGGCTGGCCATTACGTAGTACAGCGAAACCTCCCTATAACGAACTTTCCTCTCCATATAATGTTAGATTTTTTTTTCGGGGATCAACCCACCCGAGCACAGGTCACTGACCCACATCAGGACCTGGGGGGCGAAAACGCAATAATAATAATAATAATAATAATAATAATAATAATAATAATAATAATAATAAAGGGCCATAAAGAAATACAAAAATTAAAAAAAGATAAAAAGTGAGAAACAATATATGTATGTTGTGTTGCCAATAGTAAAAGAAACAATTGAGACCCTGCAATTGTGTGTAAATGCGGCAGAAAGTCAGATCAGCAACCTGGGACTTGGTCACAATTTTTGTGATGACATCTGGCAGCAGGGTCTACCATCAGACAACACATTATGCTTCCAATGTCTTCCCAGGCGGTAGTACCTCGATATAACGGACTCTCCTCTCCATATAATCCGTTAAATAGAAGTTTCACTGCACCTTCAACTGCTCAAAACTTAGATAGTTATTTACTGTCTCGTTAAAATCCGCGCGAAAACCACTCACACACACACTCGAGAGTTCTTTCCTCATCACTCTTTAAGTAAGCAATAGCAGCAGTCAAAACACCTTCCCACACGCAGCTCGAGAATAGCCTTTAAAAGAGACTTAAACAGGGAATTGGGCGAAACTGATGAGTATTGCACGAGAAGAAATGAGGTAGGGAGGGAGGGGTGGGTGGCTGGCTGGCGTAGTACCACATATGTTGGAGGAGTGAGGCCGGCCACACCCCATCACCACTACCACCACCCCCTACCACTACTACCACCATCGCCCCAACACCTCCATACGTCTGCCAACTGTTTAGATCACGTAATAGTTAATCAACCTCTCCTTACTCTTATAGCCAGGAGGTGCTGAGTCAGTTTATACAGTAACGTCCAAGAGCATGTGTTGCCACTCACCTCACCTCCCTCGTCTGTTTTCAAGGTCTCTGGTGATGAACTCCTCCTTAAGTGTTTCAACAGCACACTGGTGAGGGATATTAATGTGAGAATGGTGTTACTTGAGGGTTGGGATGTGGCTGGTATAATGTAGAGATGTACTCAACTGATTTTCACCCCAAGATCAATTTATCACCCCAAGATCTGATTTATCACCCCAAGACCTGATTTATAACCCCAAGACCTGATTTATCACCCCAAGATCTGATTTATCACCCCAAGATCTGATTTATCACCCCAAGATCTGATTTATCACCCCAAGATCTGATTTATCACCTCAAGACCTGATTTATCACCCCAAGATCTGATTTGTCACCCCAAGATCAGATTTATCACCCCAAGATCTGATTTATCACCCCAAGATCTGATTTATCACCTCAAGACCTGATTTATCACCCCAAGATCTGATTTATCACCCCAAGATCTGATTTATCACCTCAAGACCTGATTTATCACCCCAAGATCAGATTTATCACCCCAAGATCTGATTTATCACCCCAAGATCTGATTTATCACCCCAAGATCTGATTTATCACCCCAAGATCTGATTTATCACCTCAAGATCTGATTTATCACCCAGACTGATTTTCACCCAAGATCTGATTTGTCACCCCAAGATCAGATTTCCCCAAAAGATCTGATTTATCACCCCAAGATCTGATTTATCACCCAAGACCTGAGTTATCACCCCAAGACCTGAGTTATCACCCAATCATTTATCACTTATTCACCTGATTCAAGATCTGATTTATCACCTCAAGACCTGATTTATCAAGATCTGATTTATCACCCAAGATCATTTATCACAGATCTGTTATCACCCAAGATCTGATTTATCCCAAGACCTGAGTTATCACCCCAAGACCTGGTTATCACCCCAAGATCTGATTTATCACCTCAAGATCTGATTTATCACCTCAAAACCTGATTTATCACCTCAAAACCTGATTTATCACCCCAAGATCTGATTTATCACCTCAAGATCTGATCTACCATCCGAGGACCTGTGAAGTTATTGTTATTTATTATTTATTATAATTTGTATAAGTTTTACCACTATTACTGATCACTGATATATACAGTATACACTTTACCTAAACTTATGGGCTCGCTTACGCATGATATATATTTTTCGTCAGGTCAGGAAAGGCGGTAACTAGGGTCGACAAACAACATATGTCAGGTAAAACAACAGCAACAAAAACAACTGATAACAACTGATAACAATAGAACTTTAAGACCATAATAACATTATTATTTTCCCATTACAATACACAATGACGTCCCGGATCTGTCAGTATTGTGTAACAGAAAAATGTTAAATACACCGTGTATGTCATTGTTTAGTGTATGATTATGTGGCTAATTATATTGTCTGGTATATATGTATATGTGTACATGTATAAGTATATTTGTAAAATGTATATGTACAGTATGTAGGTATGATTTATGTATGTATGTGAATGTAAGTTTGTATGTATGTATGTATGTATGTATGTAAGCATGTATGTATGTATGTAAGAGGTAAACAAAGTTCTCACGTATCTTATTCACAGGAGAAAGTACCTATATGACAATTACTAGTAATGAGTAGTGACGGCCTTCTGTCGTGTGTGTGTGTGTGTAAGTGGTGGTGAACTTGTGTGATTGACGATGTATGTATGTATGAGGTGATCGTGAACAGCAATATTACGATAGTATTAAGGAGACTGTGGGGGGTACTGAAGAGTGTAAGAGTATGGAGAGAGAGAGAGAGAGAGAGAGAGAGAGAGAGAGAGAGAAAAGAGAGAGAGAGAGAGAGAGAGAGAGAGAGAGAAAGAGAGAAAGAGAGAGAGAGAGAGAGAGAGAGAGAGAGAGAGAGAGAGAGAGAGAGAGAGAGAGAGAGAAAGAGAGAGAGAGAGAGAGAGAGAGAGAGAGAGAGAGAGAGGAGAGAAAGAGAGAAAGAGAGAGAGAGAGAGAGAGAGAGAGAGAGAGAGAGAGAGAGAGAGAGAGAGGAGAGAAAGAGAGAGAGAGAGAGAGAGAGAGAGAGAGAGAGAGAGAAAGAGAGAGAGAGAGAGAGAGAGAGAGAGAGAGAGAGAGAGAGAGAGAGAGAAGAGAGAGAGAGAGAGAGAGAGAGAGAGAGAGAGAGAGAGAGAGAGAGAGAGAGAGAGGAGAGAGAGAGAGGAGAGAGAGAGAGAGAGAGAGAGAGAGAGAGAGAGAGAGAGAGAGAGAGAGAGAGAGAGAGAGAGAGAGAGAGAGAGAGAAGAGAGAGAGAGAGAGAGACACACACACACACACACACACACACACACCACCATCACGAGACAGACTGAGCTAATATTTGTCCTGTATAAATTGACGTCTCCAGATGCCTTATATTCTAGGGTTACATAATTGATTAGGTTAGAATGTTAGAGGTTACGCCATGGATCACCTGGAGATAAAGTACACCAGCTTATTTCACTTGATTAAACACCTGGGGAGGTTGTTAGATTGCGTTAGGTGTTACTTGTGTTTTACTCAGCTAAATTTGTTGTTTTTTCTCACTAATTTACGTAATTTGTGTTGATGATGTTAGGCTGAGTAGCACCTGAACCCACCTCCACCTTACCTTCCCTCCACCCCACTTCTCCTTCCCTCCACCCCTCTCCCCCCTCCACCCACCTCCTTCCCTCCACCCCACCTTCCTTCCCTCCACCCCACCTTCCTTCCCTCCACCCCCTCCTTCCCTCCACCCCCTCTCCTTCCCTCCACCCCACCTCTCTCTTCCCTCCACCCCCTCCTTCCCTCCACCCCCCTCTCATTCCTCCACCCCACCTTCCTTCCTCCACCCCACCTTCCTTCCCTCCACCCCACCTCTCCTCCACCCCACCTTCCTTCCTCCACCCCACCTTCCTTCCCTCCACCCCACCTCCTTCCCTCCACCCCACCTCTCTCTTCCCCTCCACCCCCCCTCCTTCCCTCCACCCACCCTCCTTCCCTCACCCCTCTCTTCCCTCCACCCCACCTTCCTTCCCTCCACCCCACCTTCCTTCCCTCCACCCCACCTTCCTCCCTCCACCCCACCTTCCCTTCCCTCCACCCCACCTCCTTCCCTCCACCCCACCTTCCTTCCCCTCCACCCCACCTTCCTTCCTCCACCCCCTCTCCTTCCTCCACCCCACCTCTTCCCTCCACCCCACCTCTCCTTCCCTTCCACCCCCTCCTTCCCTCCACCCCCCTCTCATTCCCTCCACCCCACCTTCCTTCCCTCCACCCCACCTTCCTTCCTCCACCCTCCCTCCTTCCCCCTCCACCCCACCTTCCTTCCCTCCACCCCACCTTCCTTCCCTCCACCCCACCTCCCTTCCCTCCACCCCACCTTCCTTCCCTCCACCCCACCCTCCTTCCCTCCACCCCACCTTCCCTTCCCTCCACCCCACCTCTCCTTCCCTCCACCCCCCCTTCCTTCCCTCCACCCCACCTTCTCCTTCCCTCCACCCCACCTTCCTTCCTCTCCACCCCACCTCTCCTTCCCTCCACCCCACCTTCCTTCCCTCCACCCCACCTTCTTCCCCTCCACCCCACCTTACCTTCCTCCACCCCCTCCTTCCCTCCACCCCCCCCTCTCCTTCTCCACCCACCTCTTCCCCACAAGCTTCCTGATATATAAATATATAGCCATAAACCCATTTTCCTGACGTTTGGACAAGACCACTGAGCCCATTAAACGTGGTGCTGTCGCGTTGAGTAACCTGGTGTTTGGTGGTTGCGAGACGACACCCCCAACCCTCTGGCGTTTTTAAATGCTTTCAGAAATACGACACATTGGTTGGCCAGATTGACGACTGATGCCAAAAATAAATCACACGAGAGATTTCACACTCCTGATTGTTGTATTAATGTTGCAAAAGTCAAACGTGTATCAAGTGAACTTTATGTATGCAGGGGCGAGACAAGACGCTGGAACACACATCACATAAACATCATTTTTTTTTCTGAGTTGTATTGGGATCACCTGTATAGTACCCCAATCCCAGGCCCACAACCCCCCCCACCACCACCACCCACCCCCCTTAGTTTATTTCACCTGATGATTAAACACCCGAAAGATACCCTGGGAAGTTTAAGTTAGGTTAGGTTAGTCTAGATTATGTTATGTTAGGTTAGGTTCGGTTAGGTTCGGTTAGTCTAGATTATGTTATGTTAGGTTAGGTTCGGTTAGGTTCGGTTAGTCTATATTATGTTATGTTAGGTTAGGTTGAGTTAGGATTATGGTGGTTAATATTCAGGTGAAATAAACTGGGGAGGTTAGATCTTCAGGTAAACCAGACAGATTAAACTTTATCATCATGTTTACTATACACCATCATTATATACATCATAGGATCATCATACAGTCAAAATAATACGTCGATGAATCATACATAACACAGCCCATACATATAACGAGGCCGTGTCACAGCCAACTAGCCAATCACTACTGGCCACACTTGAGCAATACCTCACTTGACCCAGTAGCGGCGGTGAGTACTGTCATCACTAATTACAACCCCTGGACGACCACAACAAGACCGATCACCTCATTTGTATCCTTCACTCTAAATTATCTTGGCCTCGATTGTCTTCACCTCCCGAGTGGCCCACGATGGAGGAGGAGGAGGATGAGGAGGTGGAGGAGGAGGAGGAGGAGGAGGTGCAGGAGGAGGAGGAGGTGGGGAGGAAGTGGTGGTGGTGATAGTTAGTATACAAAGCTACTTACTTACCTGCCAATACACCACAGGTAAAGTTATTCACCTGACAGTAAACACAACACAGGTAATCCCAGACACCTAATTCTCAATAACAGGAAGAATAGGACACGGTCGAAGAGGCGTACTGAAGAAAACACACACACACACACACACACACACACACACACACACACTATCCCAGGAACTTACAGATTCTACAATAAACACAATACGGTAGTTGCTTCATCATCAGTGTGAGAAATGTTCAAGATATTATTATTAGAGTCAGACCGAACAGCTGATCCTACGAGAAACCATAAAAGTGTTAGTTATCTGTTTTGTCATATCTTAATTATTGATGAACTCTTGTACTTACTAATCATGTTATACGCAGTTAAAGACTTTAATGCTGAAACGCCGGGGTAGATAACGTGAGGTAACGACCCTAGAACGTGTAAACCATAGCATCTCTTGTGGTGTTGGTTAAGGGTACGTTGGCGTGGGTGGGTGAGGGAGAGAACCTGTAGAGGACAATATCGTCAGGGGAACTCCTCCTACAGGCTAGTTATACTGACGGGTGGAGAGGAACACTTGAGCTTATTGCAGTGATCGGTCGGTTGTGTTGTATTCAAGGCCACCATCGAGGAGGCCCCACCACCTCCTCCACGATCAGGGGGGGGGGGGGTACCGTACACCACACAGTGCCTCGGCTCTTCAACCTCTTACCTGTATTTCATAACAGGGCGTAGCATGTACCACTGAACTGGAGAACCACAAAGTGTCATTAAGTCATTAACGCTATTTAAGAACAGCATATACCCGAGTTGTGGTTAATTTAGCAATGAGAGGCGGGGTAGGTCTGTGGTGGTTGTATGGTGAGGTGGCGTTGTGTGGGGGCGGTGGTGCAGGCTGCCTCACCTCTTGTTGATAATCACAATATAGACCCCTTGGTAATGGATGATTCATAACTTGAACACAAAACTACACATGACATGAATCAGTCCAGTGCAGTTTCTAGTAACCTTGAAGGGTAATATCAGTCTTGTCTGTGGTACAGTATTTAGAGGTCACCTTAGATGTTAATAATTGAAATGGAACTATAGTGATTTTTTATTCCCTAAATTAACCACCCTAACGCTAACTTAACCTCACCTAAGATAACCTAACCGAACGCTAAATTAACCAAAGATAACCTACTTTATCATAGCCTATTCTAGCTTCCCCTGCCCCCCCCCCCCCCTAAGTTGAGAGTAGTTAATCTTCAAGTAAAATAAGCTGGGGTGTTAACCAACGCTATATAAACGTATAATAATAAACACAATCAACAAATTTATATGAGGGAAGATCGAGCACTGCACATGACCCAAACGTGAGGTGTTGAGCTGGTGTGTGGCTGCCCTCACTACTACTGCTGGTGCTGTTACCGAAGTGTGAACTAAATACTGTAATGAGTTATTTTTCTTGTTGTAGTTGACGATGGCCCGAAGGTTGTGCTTACTGTTGGCGGTATGGACGGGATGGGTGGCGGGGCAGTCCTCGCCCTACTGCAGCTTCACGTCTCGACATACTCTGTGCAAGTTTTCAGGTGTGGGGCCCCGGTGTGGGTCTCAAGTGATGGCCCGCGGGGTTGGGGCCCAGGACGCGGCCGCCATAGTGGCTCAACACAACCAGCTGAGGTCTCGGGTAGCCATGGGTCAGGAACGACGCGGAGATCCCGGACCTCAGCCACAAGCTGCTAACATGAGGCTCCTGGTGAGTAACTTATGACACCACACACCTCTACTACTGCTGGTGGCGGGTGTTCAGTTCAGCGGTACAAGAAACTGTGGACTGTGTCATGAGGCATAAATATTAATATCTTGTACTTTAATTATGTTGATGGAGGTCTACTACGCATCTCCTGAGATACTTAATTGACACTCGATACTATACAATCAATACAACTTAGCTCTATAAACTTTGTATTCTCAAAATAAAGTAGAAATTTATTATCGTGAAGGACCTGGAACCACACCTTACAGGAACACACGATGCTGGTGGCGTGAGAAGACTTACAGTAACTGTTGTGTGTTTACAGGAGTGGGATGACGAGCTGGCGGTGGTCGCACAGGGGCACGCTGACCAGTGTGTCTTCGAGCACGAGTGTTCCGACTGTCGCCGCGTCTGTGAGTGACCAACTTTTTTGATGCAATGTGTGTGTGTGTGTGTGTGATATTCCAAACATACCTCCATGTATGTTTGTTTCATATTTAAATCTTGTTTCCAACATATTCATACAGGCAGAAGCTCTCCTAGGTTACCACTCAAAGTTATGGTGCTCCTCTCTCCCTCACACAGCAAGGTTCGGTGTCGGGCAGAATCTGTTCATCAGCTTTCAGAGCAATTTTGACACCCAGATCCAGTGGAACCGAGCCATCAAGGCCTGGTATGACGAGGTGGTCGACTTCGACCCTTCTGACATCAAGCCCTTCCAGTGAGTCAGTCTCTCTCTCTCTCTCTCCTTAATCTAATCGATTTTTGTACATGTTTAGATTGAGAATCGCTTATCACTTGAAACTGTACAGTGTTCTGATGCTTGTCATATTATTAGTGTGACAAGGCTATAATATAAACCCAAACTGTAATGTAGCGCCATAACCGAGATACTGGCAACAACAGGAGGAGTGGTATGTTGACGGTGGCGCTGACGAAGGTGTGTGTGTGTGTGTGTCTATCTCTCTCTCTGTCTGCAGGTTCTCGACGGCGGTGGGTCACTACACACAGATGATGTGGTGGAACACGTATACGGTGGGTTGTGGCTTCACCATGTACGAGGACGGTGGCTGGTGGAAGAAACTATACACGTGTAACTACGGACCCGGCGGTAACATTATCTTCAGTCAGATGTACCGGAGAGGCTCACCCTGCTCCTCCTGTCCTGAGGGTACTACTTGTTCCCTCCAGTACTCGGGACTCTGTGGTAAGTACCCCTCCCTTACACAGACAGTACCCCCCTGCCTGCTACAGTACCTCCCCTACACGGACAGTACCCTTTGCCTGCAACAGTACTTCCTCTACATGCCAGTACCACCAGCCTGCTACAATACCACATGACTGGTCGGTGCAAGCATTGGTCTGTCTATACTCAGCTGATATATCTTAACACAACACGACAAGACTTGGTGAAGCTATCCAGACCAGAGGCAGCGCGGGAGAAAATGATTACCTAGCATACTGAATTCAGGCAAGATCCATAATACACTATACAGGGTTATCAAAAAAGAATTTAGGTAATAGTTCTTTTTGGATGACTCTGTATTGTGGTTAGCCCTTCATGGAGAGAGAGAGTGTGTGTGTGTGTGTGTGTGTGTGTGTGTGTGTGTGTGTGTGTGTGTGCGTGTACTTATAAGAACTTGTCTTCTAAGTTAGTTTTAAACCTAAGTCCTACCTTATATCTCATACTGTAACCAGATATATTTGATGATAATTTTATATATATAATTACACTCATTAATTCACGATGCCTTAATGATTCACATAACAACTCTGCCACTCACACAGAACACGTAGATACTAGTTGTAAATATAGGTTGCATGCCGAGTAGACTAGCACTAATTAGGTAATACATGTATAAATAAAAATCCCATTGCTTATTAATAGTAATATAGTTGTAATGGCTAGAGCTAACAGTAGTGGAGATTTATATGACAGGTGTACTGAGTGTTACAGGTGTGTTACTCAATACACCTGTGTGCTATAACATAACACCTTACCTTGAGTGTCTTGTCCATCTCCCCACCTATACCTGACAACACGTCCTGCTTTGTCTCTGGTATTGTTGTGTACGTCACGCTCATGTTGTGTACGTCACGCTCATGTTGTGTACGTCACGCTCATGTTGTGTATGTCACACTCATGTTGTTACTAAGTATTGATATACAACACTGTATGATTAGCTAACTTAACCTAACCCAATTTATCGTATCCTAACCTAACCTAACCTAACCTAACCTAACCTAACCTAACCTAACCTGTACGACATCAAGGATACGGGGTCATGTTGATGGGCAGGAGAGGTCAAGACACGACAATCAAGGTCACGTGGTCATGTTTGGGTAGAAAAGCGCTTGGTTGAGGGTCGCTTGGCTTTGTATATTGCAGACACCAGCTCAGGGTCCAACACGGTAGTGACGAGTAGGCCTGCTGCCACCGCCCCCTCTGCCACCACCACTGCCACCATCATCACGCTCTTCCCTGTCAACAGTGATGGCAACGACCAGGATAACGCCATTCCCGTTGTCCCAGCCAACACTGACAACAGATTGAATGGCTTTAATGGGTTTGTTGACCTTAACAGTATTAATCCTAACGACGTAGACCTGAACGCTTTGATAACCTTCTTCAGCAACCGTCGCAGGGGCTCCACCACCACCTTCAACTCAGCTTTTAACCGTGGTCAGCGGCCCGCTTTAATCACTGCTGGACCTACCACTACTACTACCCCTACTACCATCCCTCCGGTCACTACTACCACTACTACAACAACTACCCAACCACCCACAACAACAACACCCACTACAACAACGGCACCTTCTACCACAACTCCCGCCACTACCATGGCACCAACTATTCCTACCACTACCACCACCACAACCACTCCTCCAACTACCACTACTACAACCACCTCGTCTACCAACACCACCACCACCTATACAACCCCCTCGACTACAACCACTTCTTCCCCACAAGGTGCAGCCTTTGCTACGCGCTTCCCCACGAACCAGGTGGCGGGGAGTAGAGGTAGAGCCCCCACAGCCCAGGAGGAAGAAAACATGTTCATTCCCTTCAATGGTAATCAGCCGTCGTCCTCAGATCTAATGCCCTTCCTGCAGCGGGCGGGGATGGACACCCAAGTCATCAGGACCACGTCACTCTCTAACGTACAGAACATTATCAACGCCCTCCCTGCCAACCTCAAACCCATCGTACTCTTCAGGTACTGTCCTTCATTAAAGTAGTGTCATATTATTAGTGTTCACTCTATGGGATGCAGCGGCTGGATGGGTATAATGCTCAGCTCCTTTCCTAAGATTTGCCGGTTTGCACCCGAAGCACCCCCGGTCCACTCACCTGTGAATGGGTACCTAATCTTACAGATGGGAAACAAAGAAGGTCGAGTGCAGTGCCTGTCATACTGCCCCTTTTTACCGTGTGCTGCACCCACCCGCACTCCCCTTAATGAGTTGTCAAGGCTATAAAAACACTTTGAATTTATTCGTTGAATCATGGAGGTGTATTCATGAAAAGACAGCATTACTCTAGCACAGTACAGTTAAGATATTACTATGAACAAGACGATACCAAGTAGTTTCCAAGTAATTACTCATCCACCTCAGGCTGGTCCTCACACTAGACACACACATACTGTATATAGAATTTGTAGTTGTCATACTGTTCCTTTTGGTAGGTCCGGGTCTGGCCAACTGACGGAGCTGGACGCCAAGACTCTGGTACCTCTCCAGCGCTTCGGCCGCTCCACCACCACCAAAGGGCCCAGGAAGAGGCGGGAGGCCCTCCTCACCTGTGACCTGGACTTCACCCACCACCTGTTTGATACCTGTCTACTGAGTGTTGGTAGAGACCCTCAGTATAAGTCGTCTCTATTTCTTATTTAGACTGTTAGTACCCAGTCAGAGGATCACCCTACTTTATTTCACCTGAAACTTAACCACCCAAACGCTAACCTAACCTAACTTAACCCTTAACCTAACTTAGCCTAAGCTTACATAACCCGAGGTGAAATAAGTTGCATTGTTAAATTCTCAGTAAGATTTTAGACATATTGTTAACATAACCGAAGGACGTAACTGATCAAGGTTATATAATTTAAGTTTATAGTCTAAAGAATCACAACTGGGCCGAGTGACCATTCTGAGTGTTGATGTTGTGTTACAGGTGAGGGGATGTATGCTGAGGCCGTGCTTGAGGAGGGTGAGGGCGCCCAGGTGGTGGTGGAGGAGATGGTGGAGGCCCCCAGCAGTGAGACGGTGTGTGTGGCTCTCTCCCACCGCCGCTCCCTCTTCCCCGGCGCCCCCGACAACGCCACTATACCGGAGCTGCAGGTGGGTGTTCGTCCTCCACCACCTGTATCGTGCACCCGGTGTATCTATTGTTGTGTTTACTGTACAGCAAAAGCCACAGATGTATTAATATACCATTATGAAACAAATCAAATATTAAATATATATTTTTCCAGTATAATATTCGTACCACTCTGGTCCTCTATTCACACAGATAAGAAAATTAATTTGTATTTCTGTAGTCTTATGTCCACAATTAAGATGTGTCTTATCCACCATGTTTATTTCCAGGTGGGAGTGATGCCCCTGGGAGGGGAAGTGAATCGCATGCCAGTTTTGGGTGCCCCTGGAGTGTGGGAGATGAGTCGTGTCACCCTGCGTAACGTGAAGACGCCCTTCCTCCTGGTGATGACGGTGGGGCCCGCCACGGAACCCGCCACTGTCGCCCTGGACGCTTTTATGGTTACTGACGGCGTTTGTTGCTTGTCCGGCAAGTGCTAGGACCAGCTGCTGCCACCACCACCACCAGTGACGCCTCGCTCGTACTAGGCACACTAAGTGCTGGTAGGGGGCCTCTGCCAACCTGTGGCTTTCTGTCCCGTATGTGTGAGGTGCGTGGCGTCACAACTGAGTGTGATGTGCAGACCACCACCACCACCAGCAGTAATGCTTTTTGGAATTTGTGGCGGATATAAGTAGAGCATCACGCAACTTGAGTAGTTCTAGAGGTATAATTTTTTTGTAGTTGAGAAAAATTTACTTCACGTTATCCAGTAGATATAAGACGGATGCTTTTGTATCCACTGGCTTTTGCGATGCTCAGCTTGGTGTTAATAAGCTGTAGATACTTGACCCCACAGCTGTCTCGGAGGGTCACACACACTGACACACACACAAACACAACCATAACTTATTTAAAACTATATTTTATTATCAGAAAAGTGTGGTATCAATACCCAGCCTTCGTGCCAGTTACTGAAGCACCCCAATCTGACAGTGACGCGGCCCTCCGACAATGCCACGTATACATGGCCTGGCACTGTGGTGTTATGAGGTACGCTGGTGGTGGTAGACTGATCTGACCCCCACACGCCAGGCCAGCCGAGGTTCTCATGACAATAACCTTCCCTCGGGCGTGTAGAGAAATGTATTTAGCTTTTAATAGTGGTGAAGAAACTCATCTCCTTTACCAGCCCTGGACCTCAGCCTGGTACTTCGTGTATGTATCTACGTGCGTGTGTGTGGGCCGCTGGTACCTGTCAAGGAATTAGCGACCACACCACCACCACCACCACAAGCACAAAGTAATCGTTGTATGTGCGTGTGTGCGTCGTGAGGATGATCGTGTGTCCCAACTTGTGTATGTGCGTGGATGAGGTTCTGTTGACAGTATTATTTATTTTTTTTACTACTTTATACCAATAAAGTTTCCTTCCAACTTTCAACCTTTTGTTTAATTTACACCAACGCTTAGCTCCTTGAACACGATGCCAAACAAGATCAAACAGGAAGAAACAAGATCAAACAAGAAGAAATAAAACGAGACAGGTTAGCAGACGAGACGGTAATTACCCAATTAAAGTGACAAACAACCAAACAAATTCGAAAACTATGACCACAAACACTGGTCTTCATTATTTTGGTGTAAACTGCTGTTGGATGTAAGGAAGCATGAGTTGACTGATGTGTAGTACAGCAATATGGCCCCCACTGACGTGTTTCATTTTAAACTGTGTAGTAATATCGAGTCTTAGCTATGACTTAAAACCTGAAATGGAAGTTTACAGTCTACAGAACCTCACAATTTTCTTAATAATATCTCTATGTGCAATGACACTCAGGAAACTATATATCTGTAGCTTGACATACTAATACCTATAGAGATTTAGTAGGTTAGGTTAGGTGGAATGTCTAGTGTTTGTTAGTTAGGGAATAACATGTGAGGACTGTACCGACGTCTGAATGATATTAACCTCATTGCAAGGCCACCAAAGTGTACTCTGGGAATAACCAAGATCATCAACTCTACGACACGTAATGGGGAGGGCAAGGTAGGACAATATTAGACTCATGAGAGACAAGTTTAGAAAAATTCGAGACACAACACGACCGAGCATTTAAAATATCCACAAACGAAAGAATAACGTAAAAACTAGTATTACGAGGGTGTAGGCATTGTCAGCGGGTAACTAATTAAAGAGCTCGCGGGGGCGTTTAAATCCTGTTGTCGTAAGTGAGCAGCTGACTGATGGGTGGTGTGTGAGAGAGCGCGGGCCCCCCACTATTGTTCTCAGCCTTATATTCTTGTTCCACCGGGCTCTCTCACCTCACACCATTTTCCCAGCACCCGGGTTATTAGTATATGATTGTATGGTGTATGGTTTATCAGTCATCAATTTTATACTAATATATCTTTATTTTATTTATTTATTATTGATGACTGGTGTGTTTACCAGCCTACGCGCTTCAAGAACTTTAGTTAACGAAGTGTGTGTATTACTGTATACATCAGAACATCAACTACCAAGACCATAGTTATTGAAGCGCAGTAATACATCATCATAACGTTAATGTATTTCTTCGTACATACAGTGGTTGATGGCGTGAAGGACGTCATGTGGTGGTAGGTTATTTATTTGACGATAAAATGGGTGTTGATAAAGAGTCTGTGTGTGTAAATAATAATAATAATAATAATTAACGGTTTATTGAAAAAGTTCTGCAGCCCGTAGGCTGAAAATATACATTGGACATAAATGACTTATTACAAACATTGGTGGTTTAACAAAAGCCTTCATTAGAGAAAGGTGAAGGAACATACTGTGAACATACAGATTAATGTTTACAGTGGAGGTCACGTAGATCTTGTGTGCTGAGGTGTTGAACAGCAGACACGCATGGTGTGTGTGTGTTTTAGAGTTATTAGTGACCGTGTATGTGTGTGTGTGTGTGTGTGTACTGTATGTTGTTTCTTTAGTGTCCACCCTCCAACACATCTCTCTCTCTCTCTCTCTCCACCCCTGAGGCTCTACCACTAATCTCACTGCCCGGGTGGAGGGTACTCAATATCTTCACAAGTGGAGTGTGGTGAGTATACGGGCAGCACGAGTGTCACCTCTTGAGAGTATCTTGGAGGGGAGGAACCCATAGGCGGTGAACCAGGTGGAATGAACCGCTGAGTTGATGGACCAGTGTGTTGATGGACCAGTGTGTTGATGAACCAGGAAGTTGATGAACCAATGAGTTGATGGACCAATGAGTTGATGGACCAGTAATGTTGATGGACCAGTAAATTTATGAACCAGTAATGTCGATGAACCAGTAATGTTGATGGACCAGGCGTTGAACCGTGAGGTGGTAAACCAGACAGCTTTAACAATAACTAAGGCGTTGTAACAATAATAACCTTGAAACCATTAATGTTGGCTTATAACAACTGTAGGATTGTGACCGTCAGTTTGAGCTAACATTGGGTTGTGACTGTAACAACACAACTGTTATTACAAGGTTGTGACTGACGGGGACTGGAATTATGACTGTGCCGGAAACTTGTAGTAGTGTTGATAGCATGATGGTCGTATGTAATCTGTATAATAATAAATAATAATGATAATAATAATATTAATAATAATAATAATAATAATAGTAATAATAATAATAATAATAAAAACAAAATAATAATAATAATAATAAAATATAATAGTAATAATAATAATAATAATAATAATAATAATAATAATAATAATAATAACAGTAATAATAATAATAATAATAATAATAATAATAATAATAATAATAATAAAATAATAATATTAATAATAATAATAATAATAATAATAATAATAATAATAATAAAATAATAATAATAAAATAATAATAAAATAATAATAATAATAATAATAATAATAATAATAAAATAATAATAAAATAATAATTATAATAATAATAATAATAATAAAATAATAATATAATAATAATAATAATAATAATAATAATAAGTAATAATAATAATAATAATAATAATAATAATAATAATAATAATAATAATAATAAAATAATAATATATATAATATAAAATAATAATAATAATAAAATAATAATAATAAAATAATAATAAATATAATAATAATAATAATAATATATTAATAAATAATAATAATAAATAATAATAAAATAATAATTATAATAATAATAATAATAATAATGATAATAATAATAATAATAATAATAATAATAATAATAATAATAATAATAAAATAATAATAATAAAATAATAATAATAATCATAATAATAATAATAATGGTACCGGGCATTATTATTATTATGCTGGCAATTTTCGTCATTATTATTTAATTAATTTATTTATTTTTAACGTAATATTAATTTAACAAAAGCCTTATAGACCTGGTACTGTACTATACTGTATTTTAAAATAGTTAATTAAAATTAATAATACAAATAATATGAAAAAATTCTACACTAAAGACCACAAGAAAATTATTTTCATTGTCTCCTCGTAAATGAAACAGACGAAGTTCAATGAAAAACCTCGAATCTCGGACCCTTTAGTTCCTTTTACCCACTTTTTCAGTCTTTTAATAAACCACATTACCCTCCCCGACCCCGCTAACCCGACCCTCAACCTTCCTTAACGCAAAAACCATACATTTTTTATTGTATTTTAATATATTATCTTCTGTAGTTATTCGTAAGGTCTATAATAATCTGTAAACCATTTAGTCTCTTTCATTTAGTGTTGGGTTTAATATTTTCTCAATGTTTTATCCGTAAATACTATGAAAACAATTTTACACAAGAAATCACTCGTTCTGGAGACCACCATCTGTGCCCGGGCTTCAATAGCGACCTTCCTATTGGTTGTGGCGTGTGTGACGTAATGGGATACCCGACCAATGACCAGCTGCCCTTCCATGCAACACGTTTTCTTCCGGACGGTAACCACTGTAATGTTTACTATCTAATTTAATATATCTAAAGAAGAATTAAATATATTATACTGTGTTTATCGTCAATGTAAATTCTATTAAGACGTTGAATTTTGCTTTTAAAATCTAAATAAGCAAAATTCTTTCGTTCATTCATTAAATACTCGCAGTTTCTATCTACAAATATACATACAAAATAAAGATAAATTTATATAATATTAATCCTCCGTCAAGCAAACCATTGAATTCTATATGTAAAAGGGCGGAGAAAATACCCCACATGGCAACCCATCCCATAAGTACCCGTATAGGCGCGCGGGTTGAGTGCTTTTGGGCCAGTTCCTAAGAGGTTGTTATTGGATTAAAACCGACCATTGGGAGGCTGTTAGCGGAGGTTGTATGGTGTTTGGTCAACTAGTGTGTGTGTGTCAGCTCCGTGGTGTCGTGTGTGTGTGTCGCTCGCCCCCACTATCACTAGGTTAGTATTGCAATGATATAGTGTTGTGATTTGATGTTAATAGAGAAAAAAAGATTCTAAGTAAAATCACTATACACGATTACACTGATTCAGCATGTATATAAACACTGCAGGTACACAATATACATTTAAAGTGCAAATATAATCAATTTTTTTCTTGACGATTTAAATGGTTTTATTTATAATTACTGAGGCACAGGGATATATTGCGTGGTGTTATGTGGTGTGTGCCGCGAAAAGTGATCTGAGCACAGTGAAACATTTTACATAGAAATGTTTTATTTTTCTGAACTCATCTATTACTTATAGTTAATGGACCCTGTGTCGAAAGTGATGAAAAACACTCAAGTTGACATAGAAGACAAGTAGGTGGCCTTCACATCTGAAGAGACCCAACATAACAAAAAAATTTACCGAGCCATGTCTGATTTCCCCAGGTAAATCAGGCAATAAACACGCCATTATCCTGTGCTAAAATCACAATTCAGTAATTATGCCAATTCGCCACGGCACTGAAGACGTGGAAGCAACAGTCTCATCACCGGTACACCTTCTACAGATCAAAAAGTATACCATGGAAATCATCAGAAAACGCTTCAATATTAAAGTCTACAGTCATTCTTGATAACCCACAACAAAGTGCATCAGACTATCAGTTATAATGATATTGATAACTAAGAATTTTGATAAGCAATAAATTAAATATAAAGGCATATTCAATCACCAAACATCAGATCACTGGGTGTTATCGAGGGTAGTTATCAGTACAGGATAAGGAAGCCACCAAGAATTATAACAGAAGAAAAACGGTATTATCGTTTCGGTCATCCAGCGAGGTTAGGTTAGGTTAGGTTAGGTTTGGTTAGGTTGAAATCGTGTTTTTTCCCGGTGGTTTTTGATGTGTTTTGAACGACTCTGACCTTCATTTCAAATAGGTGGATAACCGAAACAATAATTTTACCCCCAAAAAACAATATGGAACATAGATCTTAATATCAGTGACGCCAACACAGTTTGACG